GATATCCTCAAGATATCTATAGGATTGTGTTGTGTTATTTGGGTAAGTCCTTATATAGATTGCCATTGCGAATATACCACGGTGCGTCAAAATACCTCATAGTATCTTGTTTTGGAATCTTTGGATAATATTTCGGTTGCTTTGCTTGGTACATCTTCAAAGTTGAATACCATAAGTCCATATTGGCTGCTTCTGGATTTGTTAATAAAGCAAAAGCTTATTATATAATGACAGGGTTGAATGTCGCCCTAGTAACCAGTACATTTTCCTGTACTTATTTAATTTGAATTCTTCGCATTTTTTCTTTACATGCGATTTTCACCTGAGTTTAGCATCAAGTGTCATGCCAAGATATTTAGCTGTATTTTCGTAAGGAACTACTTGTTGATTTATATATGTATACTGGCTTGTACTCGATTCGTTTATTAGTGAAATCGATATGCACTAATATGTTGGATAAATTACAATAATATCTTTGTAACTCATAAACGAGAAACCCCATAAAACATATGAAAATGGGACAACCTGTACACTTTGACCGTGTCAACTATACTTCAGTGTTACAGTGTCAACCTGTATACAAATTAGCTTTTTTAGGTCGATCTGATAGAAACCAATAACGAATATAAAGGTGAACTACGAAACTTTCGTGGTGATATAGCCATTCTAAAGTTGAAATCACCGTTTGCTTTATCCCCAGTGATACAGCCTATCTGCTATTTAAATGTTAACGAGTTCTCCTTGTCATTGAACGCTCAAGGAGTGGTAAGATTTAAATTGGACTTTATTAAGTTAAGCCACACCTAAAATTCCAAACACACGTGCTTTGATTAAAGCTTGATTAAGGTTTACAGAGCTTCAGCATTTGCCATAAAATAGCGAGTAATTTGTTACAAAACCATATAAATTATACAGGGTGTCCCGGGCTGAGCGTGCATTAGAAGTTTCTAGAGAACTACAACATCTAGCTCGGAGATTTTTTGCACATCATTGTTTTGCAACGAGATTTATCGATTAAAAATATTTTCAATATGGCAGCACTTCCGGAAATACCGGAAGTTGACAGCAACTTTCTTATTTTAAATGGGTGCCCCCATTTTTTATTATGTACTTAAATTCTCTGTAAAATTTTATGAATTTTGATATTAAAAACTCTATATCTAACATTTTCAAACAATCCGTTTTTGAGAGAAAAAATATTTAAATTTTTTGGAGGAAAAAAACTGCCTGTCAAAAATATGTGTATAGCCTAAACGTCAAATTTAGTGATTCCAGCAGCCACTGTGGCATAAAGAGAAAACATGTAGCTATCTATTTCAAAAATTAAATTGTTCGAATGTCATATAATAATGGCCGCAGCTGTCATAGAATTGAGCGATTAGAAAATTATCATAAATCATTTTTTCAAATGGAACCCCACTTTTTTTATTTCACTAGTGAAACGGCTTTTCAATTCGTTACTTTTTAACTATACATGTTCCTATACCTAAAATAAATCGTTTTTCAGTTATTTGAGATTTAGTTTTAAAGCGTATATTTTTCTCGATTTTCGAGTAGCCTATGACTTTAAACGTCAAGTGATGTAAAATAATAGATCTGGCCATGTCATTGTGACTCTTTCTTCAAAAAGCAGCATCATTTTCGAGCCAACTTTGCGCTGTTTTTTTCGATCATACGGAATATTATTAATAATATCAACTATTAGATATAACTAAAGAGCGAAAATACGAGATATATTTTTATAAATACATTTTTAAAATCTTAAGCAGGCAGTATTTATAATATAGGAAATTCAAGTGATTTGTTTTCTGACAGACGGAAATAAATTGTCTGACCGTTTGACACTTAATGTCAAAGGAAGCTAGATGATAAAATGAAGAAAAATATACGTTTTCAAATTAAATCCTAAATAACTTAAAAACGATTTATTTTAGGTATAGGAACATGTATAGTTAAAAAGTGACCAATTTAAAAACCTTTTCATCAGTGAAATAAAAAAAGTGGGTTTCCATTTGAAAAAAATAATTTATGATAATTTTTAATCGCTCAATTCCATGACAGCTACCGCCATTATTATATGACATTTGAACAATTTAATTTTTGAAATAGATAGCCACATGTCTTCTCTTTATGTCACAGTGGCTGTGGTAATCATATACGTATTACTTTTTACAAATATACTCAGCCTAATCTCCAAAAAGTGAAGCCCAAGCAGTGAAAGAACAATATGGAATTCTGCATAAGTCTATTTCACCCGGATATTCATTTAACTGAGCATGCCTCACCTGAAGAAGTTTTCATTGGTCGATGTTTTTAAAGGGAAGTGGTTGACTGACATTTCCCCTAACCTTCAATTTTATTTATATTTTTTTATTATTTATAACACATTATCATGGAGTTGGAAAAATATCAAAAAATAGTTGGAAGCAATAAACTAAACAAAATCACTCTTTTACGCGCACAAATTAAAAGTAATCCAAACAGAACTAAAACAACAATCAATCGGAGTTTGGCGCAATCGCAGTTCAATCCATATCCGGGTGAAATAGACTTATGCAGTTTG